ATAAGAAAATCTAAATGGAGTGAAGGTTTTGTATATATGTCTTAACACAGAAATAGCAAGCCATTATCATGTAAGTTCAGCTCAGAAGTTGGGGTTATTTGGACACATAATGCACTAATGAAAATCCATTTCTGCAGAGGAGCTTCTAGTCTCTTCTCATCACAACAGTTACTGAAATGGAATTGAGGCATACATTTGGGCCTTAATAAAAGGAATAACCGTGTGGTCATGAACACTTTCATTTTAAAATGGTAGACATGACTCTAGCCTCAAAATGAGAAAAGATTCCCTACCCCCTTTGACAGGACACTGTTGCTATGGTGACGGTCTGCTACCCTATGGCTGAGCAGCTTTGGGTGGCTTTACTTTGAGTGGACAAGCTAAGACGTGTTTGAATCACCTTGCTCACACCACAACCTGACCAAGAAAACGCTTTACATAAAAACAAATTAGTCACTTTTTTTTTTGAAATCCATGGCTTGGAGGTAAACTACGAGATAAAGACTCTGAAATGTTTATCTCCAGCCTGGACCTCTCCTTTGAGCTTGGACTTCCATTCCATAGCTCCATGCGGATGCCCCATCATTATCTGACATTTCATATGACCAAAACAGAACTAATTATGTCTCCCATCTCCATCATGACCACATCCTGCCCCTTCCACCCCCATCCATTCAGTTATTCAGACCAAAAGCCTTGGCATTATTACCTTTAACTTCTTTTAAACATTCATCAGTGCCTGCCTGCAATAATCTTGTTTGTTCACACATCTTTTATCTGACTCTCTCCTTTAGAAAGACTATCAATTATTTCAGGGAAGGAATGCAATCTGTTTTGTTCACCACTGCATTCCCAGCATCTAAAAAAGTGTCAGATTTACAGTGGGTACTCAATAAATATTTACTGCCTGACTATGCCTATTCCTATGATACCACTTTCTTATTTTAGAATTTTCAACAGTATTTTTAAGGATGTGCTGTGACTGTGGACAATTTATTGGGAGAGGGGGGATTTGTTTCTTCATTTATAAATGGGGAAAATTAATCTATGATTTTCCGATTTATGCTGAAACTTCATGACTCTGCGATCAAAGCTTATTTGACATAAAATATTTCTTGTCCACTCAATTCACTATGTGATTTCCATTAGCTTTTTTCTTATTGACATATACAATAATGTATATGTAATTACAGTTCTCAAAGCCCTTTCATTTCCATTATTTCCTTTGACACCTCAAACTCTTGGAAACTTACATTTATTATTTCTGTTTTATAGATGAATAACTACAAGTTCAGAGGGGGTATATGAGTTGCTCAAATGCCCCATGCATCTTATTTCACTAAATCAATTTGTTGATAAATAAAAGTTGTTATCTTGGCTAATACTTTAAATATTTTTATAGTTATGCTATAGACCTAGGAATTATAAAAAATAATCTTTCTGTGAAATATTTTTTAAGAAATATTAATCATCATAATTGTGGTTTATGAGAGTGGAACATAGTTTTCAAGTCTTCCAAGGCCTTTGATTAGACTCCAGCCAGCCCTTTCTATAGGAAAAAAAGAACATTACTAGCATGATTTAGTTGAGTGGACAGAAGATGACCAAATCTACTTCCTGTCCATCCTGCATCTACTATTTTTCCCATTTGACTTATTCCTTTGAGTAAAGGCTTTGCCTCCAGAAAGCCCCTGCAGTAAATAGGAATACAGAATAATAAAAAATACTTGGGTTCAAATCCCCACTCCACCATTTACCACCTTTGTGACTGTAAACAAGTCATGGGCCTCTGTTCCTCCATCAGTAAAGTGTACTAAGATTAACTTAAGAAAAGTGTAAAATTAAATTAAATGATGTAAATTGGTGCCAGATATACAGTACAAAGTCAGAGAATGAGAACTCCTTCTCATCCTGGTAACTTGGAGGAGTAACATGTGAATCTAATCACACTTTAACAAACAAGCCTTAAGGAAATGGAAAGAGGAAAAAGAAAACCAAGATAGGTTTAGAATTTGGTATTGGTTAAATGTTGCAGAATGACTAAATTAATTATAGACAGGTACTACTAGCTCAACATATTTTGATAAAAGCAGTGAAAAACTTCAAATATTCTTAGCACAAGAAAATTACACTTTAGTCCCAGAAAAGAAAAGCTGGCATTTCTTTGTAAATATTTTAACTGAATTTATTTTCCTGTAAATAAATGGATTGGAGTTTGTTATTGGACCATGTGGTTTCTGGACACCAGTTGAATCCTCCCACCTGTAAGCTGGTTATTTAATATCCTCAGGTCTGAAGAAATAAAAAGACAATTTTCTCTAGTCTAATTCAAATCCAGACTCTCAGAAGAAACAACTAGATAAGGGAGAGGATTTTTTTTCATTTTAGTAGTCATGAGGAATGTCCTGGCTTGCAAACATATGGGTTTCAAGAAGGACTTGGGTGCCAGACAGAAGAAACAGAGAACTCAGGAACCAAGAAGCGTGATTGATGCAACATCTCAAAGGCATGATTAGATAATCTTTTAAAGTCCTCTTTAAGCTCCAAGATTCTATAAACCTCCCTGTTTAAACCTTCCTTCTAAAATGAATTCTACATAGTTTCTATAATTACACTGGATTCTTGCAAAATGTCTGGGAAAGATTGAGTTCAGTAGTTTGTGCTTTGATAACCGTCTACATATTTCTTGTGTTCTTAATTTCAGAAGGTCATCTTATAGAAGATGCATTATGGAACATGTATATTGACAGTGAGTAAGAAACTAAGCTCCTATGGACGAGCATCACATTTTGTTCCACTGGAGGCAGTACTGGGGGACCCATTCCAATGAAAACCATTCCCAATAGGATTTTCCTCTCTTCTCTTGCCACCTTCTAGCCCATGACACTTCCCGCTCAGAAACTTCACATCAGTACCATATCCACCCTTCTCTCATCCCTACTTTACCACTCTTTGTCTCTACCTTCCTATCATCCCATTTTTCCCTCACATCCATGTGCACACACACACATTCCCTGTGCTCAGAAGGCTTCAGAATAAAAATGTAGTAATATTTCCTTCCAAATGGGTGGGAATCCCTGTTCTAAAGGAAGCTGTAAACCTGCAAGGGCATGAGACTGGTTATCTTTAACCCAATAGTCCTATATTTCCAGGCACTTTCCAGGTACTTTCCTTTTTACCTTTACAACAATCTTATAAAGAACTAAAAGGGATTCAATGGAAATTATACAGGAATGTCTGATGCAGAGGGCCTGGAAGCCTGGATTATGAGAAGGAAGAGAAAAAAACAAATTCCTGGGACGCTGTCCCCAAAGACCATATGCCAAGCAGGTGAAGGAGATGCTGGTGCAGACAGCAGTTTTGACAAGAAGCCACAGGGGCAGATTTATCTCTGTTGAAGGTCAAAGGAGGCGTAAACCACTAGGACCTTGAATGGAGGTGAAAAGGGTACATACTATGATCTAGTAAAGTCAAGATTTGGCAAAAGAAGATTTCTTTTGTGATGGGGTTCCATTGTGTCATGAACGTTCTTTTTTCATGAAGGAGGGGCTTTCCAAGACTTAGGAAATATAAGAGACAAGAAATCTTATGAGCCTCATGAGCCTTATGATCAGACAGTAGTAGAAGCAATACCGAAGGAAAATAAGCTGGGACAACAGAATAAGATGTTTCATGCATTTAACATTTGCCAAGTAACGTGAGACTGATGGTTTCAACTGTATTGAGTTCTCTCACACATAAATAGAAGTCTGTTACACTTCAAGCTGACTATGTGTGCTAAACTCTAGTGAATATGGTTGAGAAGGAGAGCCAGGGTAAGGAGAAAACAGTCAGGGTAAGGATTCTTCTGTACAGAAAGCTCTGTTTAGGGGTAAAAATGAAGACTGATCTAAGAGTGAACAAATAACACAACAAGAAACTCACCAGGAAGAGCCCTTAGCCAGACTGTGGTGGCTGCCCTTTGACCCTCAACTAAGGTAAGACAAAATGATGCAATCAGTCTCATCATGAGGCTCTTTAGTAAAGCTGAAAGTCCTAGATGGGGCTACCTGGGGCTCTGGCAATTCTGAGGAAAGAATCTTAACCTAAAGTCAATACAAATTATAGCTATATTGCACTTGCTATAAAGAAGTCTGGAGTGCTTTATTTTATTTTAACCCAATCGCTATTACCTCCGTAGAGTTAGAAAGTGAATAGCCACGTTTATCCCCAGAATCAGGAAATTCAACAGAGACACCTTGTTTAGCAGAGGCGTCCAAGGTCACTGGTGAAGTTGGAAAGAGCTTGTGGCTTCAGGTCCAGTTTTGGGCAGTGTTCTCCTTAGCTGTCCCCAGACAACAGGCTGTGGTCGCGAGAGGAATCTTCCCAGGGAGCGACAGTCTGTCCTAAAGGGCAACTCGGGTCCGCGCTGCGGTTTTCAGTGCTTTGCATCTCCACGCGCGGACAGGGTATTCGTTTTCAGCGGTGAGTGAAGACCGCGAGGCGGACGCCGGCCCCAGACCCGCAGCCGCTCCGGGATCCCCGGCGGGCCCGAGAAGGGGGTTGTGCAAGCAGACGCTCCGGCCCCCCACCGTTTCCCTCAACGGGCGGCGACCCGGAGCCTCTGCAGTGCGCCGCCCCGCCCCGAGTGGCCCCGGGAAAAAGCCTGCGGCGCAACCCGCTGCTGTCCGGAGACCCGGACGGAGCCCGCGGGTCGCGAGCCCCGGAAGCAGGCCCCTGGTGCCCCCCGCGTGCGGCCCTCACGGCGCCCACGTCGCGGCGCCCCACCTCCCGGAGCCCGCCCTTTCGGTCCCCGCCTTTCTCCCCGCAGCGTCCGCAGCCCCTGCTGCGGCCGAGCAGGCTGACGAGGCCCAGAGGCCGCGGGCGCCCAGAGCGCGGGCGGCCGAGGCACCACGTGTCCCGCCCGGGCTGGCGCGGGCGGAGCGGGCCGGGCCGGGCTCCCGGAGCCTGAGCGCGCACCGGCGGCGCCGCCGGGTCCTGTGCGCGCCCGACCCCGGCCCAGCCGGGCCCCGGCCTCCCGGGCGCGCGTGGATGCCTCCTCCTGGACGGCGCGATGGGGCCCTTCTGGGAGAGAAAGGGTAAGATTGGGCGTCTGTGCGGGCTCCGTTGCCAGTGCCCGCTGGCACGAGAGGGCCTCTTGGGTCAAATGAGAGCGGAGGACACCCCGGATCCGCAATGGGATGAGGTGGGGCGTCAGGGTGCTCGGGAGAGGTCGTGGAAAACGGGGACTCGCAGCACGCGGATAGAGACCACAGTGGCCCAGTTTGGTCATTGAGGTGGTTGGGACAGCAGGCAAGGTTGGCCAGGCCATAGGTTTTGGATGCCCCTTTACTCATTGTCCTCGAGAGTGGAGCTTGGAAATGGTGCCTTTTGATAAGGAAGGTTCCTTCAGTAACGAATTGGTGCTACCCCAAAAGAAAGCCTTGGTAGATCTCTCCAAAGACATGGATGGCCCATAGTCCCCAGACGACACTTTTCAAGTTTCTGCTTCCTTGGGGATTTTTCATACAGACTATTTGAGGTGAAGAGTGAGGACCGAATATTCATCAATATGTTGTTGAAGGGCACAGCTGATGAGCTCAAATCAGCAGGCTTGAATTTAAGATGAGTAAATTGTAGAGAGGAAGACATCAGTAAGCTTAAAATGGTGCATGAGAAGAGATTCTTAAAGCTTTATATGGAATGAGTCAGTTGGGAAAAACTGCTCTTCTGTTGTTTTTATGTTCTCTAGTGTGGAGCAAGGAGTGACCTCAAGGAAAGCAGAAAATTCCACTGCTAGGTTCCTTACAGGTCCTTGAACCCCTGGCCCCAGACCCTGGTTGCAGAAGCAAAGAGCAGCTCTGTCTGAATCTCCCATCTCAGAAAAGGGCCAAATTTGAACCCCAAAGTCCAGAATCTTCTACTTAAGTTTTCTGCTGCAGGATTGCCAGCTCAGATACTTGGCCAGGCACATTTTAGGCATCTTTGCTGCTTCTTCCCCAAAGGGTGACCTTGGGAGCAAAGGGAGTCTGGTAATCCCAGTGGCAAGTTTTCTCCACCTGTACATTTGGAGGAACAGTAGCCCCTTGTCCCTTGAGAGATGAGTATAAGTCACATCATGTTTTTATTTGCTTCAGATTTTAGAGCAGCAATATATTATCATAATGCAACTTTTGGTTACTGAAGTTGTTTGACAATGACACTATTTTAATGCAGAATACATTGAAATACATTTAATTCTTTTTGAGCTTTACATCTTTAAATCACATTTTATTAACTTGGTTTGCATTTAATAATCTTTAAAGTGATATCTATCATAAATAAGAGAAATAATCACGAGTTCTTAAATGCTGATGCCCTCCTCCACCCCAAAGAAAAAGAGTCCGAACCTTCATTTTATAAATGAGCTATTGAGGCTATAGAGAGTAAGTGAATTGTCCAAGAGCATGACTTAGCCAGTGGCAAACTTAGAACTAGCTACTTCCCAATACCCAGTCCTGTGGTTTTCTCATATTTTAGTAAATATATGTAAGAGATAAGCATAAATGAGTGATTTTATAGATGAGTGCCTGGCAGGTCTTAGAGATGCAGTATAGAGGTCTGTGATTATAAAGAGGTATCATGAAGGAGATCTTTGTGATGATGGAATAGCTGTGTATCTTGATTGTGATGATGGTTTTTTTTTTTTTTAATTTTTTTTTTCAACGTTTATTTATTTTTGGGACAGAGAGAGACAGAGCATGAACGGGGGAGGGGCAGAGAGAGAGGGAGACACAGAATCTGAAACAGGCTCCAGGCTCTGAGCCATCAGCCCAGAGCCTGACGCGGGACTCGAACTCACGGACCGCGAGATCGTGACCTGGCTGAAGTCGGACGCTTAACCGACTGCGCCACCCAGGCGCCCCGATTGTGATGATGGTTATATGAATCCACATATGTGATAAAATATAGAGCTATACACACACATTGCACTAATGTCAGTCTCCTAGATTTGATATTATGCCATAGTTATGCAAGATACAGTCATTGAGGGGAAACTGGGTGAAGAATATATGGATTTTTGCTGTCTTTGCAACTTCTTATGAATCTATAATTATTTCAGAACAGGTTCATTTTTATTTTTATTTTTAAAATTTATTTTGAGAGTCATTGGGGGGACCTGGGTGAAGAATATATGGATTTTTGCTGTCTTTGCAACTTCTTATGAATCTATAATTATTTCAGAATAAATAGGTTTATTTATTTATTTATTTTTAATTTATTTTGAGAGAGAGAGAGCATGTGCATTTGGGAGCCAGGGGAGGAGCAGAGAGAGAGGGTGAGAGAGAATCCCAAGCAGGATCCACACTGCCAACACAGATCCCGACTTGGAGACCCAATCCCACGAAACTCGAGATCATGACCTGAGCCAAAATCAAGAGTTAGAAGCCCAACTGAGTGAGCCATCCAGGTGCCCCTAAAAAGGTCTTTTCAAAGTAATTTTGTAAGTGTTTCAAAATCCAACATTGGCTATTTTGCTAAATCTGAATTGTATACAAAATACCTTGCTTTTTACTGTATATGCCATTTTTAAGTATGTGATACAAACTAATGCCTGAATATTTGCTGATTTGATATTTAAAAAGACCATATACACTCCTGAGGTATTACTGCTTATGCTAGGATATCAGTATATCCTTGGAGATACTAAATAGCATCTTAGCAAGAGATAGTAAATATAAGTAATTTATTTAAAATTTTAGAAAATAGGGAGAAAGTGTTGTCTTTAAATAGTTATTGTGCTAAAATAACAGCCAGGTGTTTTTCTTTCTTATTTATTCCTACATGAAAATACTGAGGTCTTAGGTCTACAATTGGTCTTTCCTCCTCTTGGCAGGATGTTTTCTGTGCTTCAAGTGATTGAATGGAGAGATATCACCAAGCAGACGTGATGGGAGGACATAGGCTTCCTTTAGAAAGAATCTGATGCTCATAATGACTTTTCTCTTTGTGGAAATTCAGGAGTGTAAACTAATTAAAATATCTGAAAAGGTTTTTTGCGGATTTTTAGAGCTACCCTCATCGATTTCAGGGTGAAGTTTCTTTTACAGGGTTGGCTACCAATGGCAGAAGCCCTAGAACACATTCTGAAAGGAGATGGAAAACTAAAGCTTCAGTGGTCCTGTAGACTGAGGTTCTCGCAGGTCCTGGCAGAGGAAAGGAAGGTTCACGTATACACACTTCTGACCAAAGAAATACCATTCTCCAGTGGGGGAGGCACTATTTCCAGAACTTCAGTTACTCTAGTACATGTCATAATTTCTACCATTTCTAAATACAAATTGTACTATTGTTTGCTTAATATCACCAAAATTGATATTGATACATTTTTTTTTACTTAGCCTTCATCTAGGCAATAATATCCATGAAATACCAAGTTTTATGTGTGTGTTATATTTCTCCAAATACATAAAAATAAATGTATAAATTTGAAAGAGACATATCCATGAGCCATTTAAAATCATCCTGGCTCCCACCAGTGGTATATTCAGTGCACCAGGGATGCGGTACAATGGCAAAGCTCCATGAGGTGCCAAGGCGGTGGTGAGGGAAGCACACCTAGCTCCACAGAGCAGCCCGTGATCAGTGGTAGAATGGAGAGAGACTAGGTTGCTTCACATCCTAGTAGCCATTTAAAAATGGCCTTTTATTCCTTCTAGAAAAAAACAGTTTTCGTTAAGCTTTATTTTTTATTTTTTACACTTATTTATTTTTGAGAGACAGAATGAGAGAGTGCGAGCCAGGGAGGGGCAGAGAGAGGAGACACAGAATCCGAAGCAGTCTCCAGGCTCTGAGCAAGTGGTCACCACAGAGCCCAATGCAAGACTTGAACCCATGAGCTGAAGTTGGATGCTCAACCAACTGAGCCACCTAAGCACCCCTTCTTAAGCTTTTTAAATTATAAACGATTCCTAAAAGTACTTTCATTTTTTATTGGAGTGAAGCATCTCAGCAAATATATTTAGCTCTGTAGAAACTAGAATCAAGGGGCGCCTGGGTGGCGCAGTCGGTTAAGCGTCCGACTTCAGCCAGGTCACGATCTCGCGGTCCGTGAGTTCGAGCCCCGCGTCGGGCTCTGGGCTGATGGCTCAGAGCCTGGAGCCTGTTTCCGATTCTGTGTCTCCCTCTCTCTCTGCCCCTCCCCCGTTCATGCTCTGTCTCTCTCTGTCCCAAAAATAAATAAACGTTGAAAAAAAAAAAATTAAAAAAAAAAAAAAAAAAAGAAACTAGAATCAATATTTGGTTTTTATTTCTATAATTTATGGTAATGACTATACAAGCTGTGTCTCAGGCTTAATCACCAAGTCATATGTCTGTGGGCTTTTTCAGTCTCGCAGAGTATATTAACTCGGTTTACTTAAACTATAAGGCATTTGATTTGGTATAGAAATCCCTTTAAAAAATGTCCATGGATGAGAAGACCTTCGCATTCTTCAAGTGAAGTTGAAAAACTATATGAGAAAAGATCAGTAGATGAATATGGAAGAAATATAACAGCATTCCTAAAATTGCTTTCAACTCCTTGTGCTTCTTCTGGTTCCAAAATGAGCTTTTATGACCATCAAACTTAAGTGAGAATATTCACTCACCAGAAAGGAAAAGACCCGGTGCCTGGCTGGCTCAGTCAGTAGAGCTGCAAGCCTTGATCTCGGGGTTGTGGGTTTGAGCCTCACAAATTGGGTATAGAGATTACGTAAATATAAAATCTTTCTTTTTAAAAGGAAAAGACAAACATTTACCATAACAACATGTGGCTTACAAAGGCATTCATCAGGGCTGTGATTCTTTCTTATTTAAATAACCTATTTGCAAGCATTAAAAGGATCTGTTGCTTTGTTTTTAACTTTGTTTCTCAAGAAATATTGGCATGCCTCTTGGACCATAGAAAAATATCTTCCTAAAGCTTACCTAACACAAAATCCATATTTGAGAGAAAAGAATGTTCATTCTTTGAGCATGACTAAATTGGTGTAAGGAGAGATTAACTCAGTCACATCCTAAATCCCCCATTTTTTCCTGACCCTTTATTTCAAAAAATCTGAATTATTAACAAAATCAG